AAAAAGATAAGCTGCCAAGATGTTTCAGTGGGCAGGTAGAAGCTTACACAGAGGCCTGGCAATCTCCCAATCCCAGGATCCCACAAAGCGGCAGGAGAGACCAACTCCTGAAAGCTGGCCTCTGACCACATGCATGCCATGGCATGAGTGTGCCTTTGGGTACCTGAAATTCAATTAATGAATTTTAAACGAGGTGAAGAAATGAGAGAGGGAGCTACCCAAAGTCAACCTTGCCCTCCACATGTGAACACACAGAGCAAAGAGAGCATGTGTACACACACACACACACACACACACACACACACACACACGAGGGAGAGAGAGAGAGCACCTGCAATGGATACTCCCCACACATTGGCATGTATACTAACAGCTCTCACATACAACCTCCCCATACAGTGGTCAAGGTCTTTACTGGCCTGACATGGCAGCGCCGTGAGCCATGGAGCATAGTTGAATGGGGACATGTCTACAACACTTCTACCTAATGTTGCCTAAACTGAGGACATCCTGATCCTTCTGGAGGAGTGAGTGACCCACTTCTCGCAGACTCTGAGGCACCACGACCACTTAGCACAACAGACAGATATGCAGATTCAGGTAATGATTATAATTATTTATTACAAATAAATGTATAGAGTTTCACATCTCTCAAAAATGGTTCCTGGGTTCTCATGAATGTGCAGGTTCTGATGTGGAAGAAAGGGCTGTGTGCTTACGTAGCCTGTCCATGCAAAGCTCATAGGTCACTAAACACCTTAAAAAATAGAATGGTCTCCTTCTGAACACATCCGTTTAGTGTCGGGATTAGTAAAAGTGTAGGAAACGGGTGGATAGACGTTAGGGGGGAATTTTCTGATGGAATCTGCTGGGAGAGAGGAGTGTGAACCTGGAGGTGGCTTGGCCACGTGTGTCAGGAGGCGGTGACTCGGTCAGTTACTGTCTGGTTTTGGCTGACAGTGAGAGCCACAAGTGGCTTCCTGTCAAGCAGAGACCCTAGCCTGCTTTCAAGAACTGTTTGACTCCAGGAAATAGAAAATGTCACTTCCGGCTCAAGATTGGGAAGCGAGGCAGCCCCTCCCACGGGCAGGGCAGCATCGTCCTAACGTGTTTGATAGCGGGCAACCGGGTGAGGATGTAGGGTAGGTCCAGCCTCCAGGCAGACCTCATCCCATGATGACGGACTCTATGAACGAAAACTTCCCAAAATGAAACGGGATGTGCAGTTAAATATTGGCACCATCTGCCTTCGCGGAAACCTCTTGTCACCATGGTGACGCTCTTCGCCGCCGGGGCAGCCCCTGCCGCCCTCCAGCCAGCCGCCTTCACTCAAACATTTCATAGTGACGCGTCTGTCTCACTCTGGGCACCATGTCGATGAGGAGCCTGCAGAAATGAAGACAGACTCGGTCACCTCGACACCGGGAGAGCTCGGGGGAAACCGAGGCTGTTTGTGTAGGCGTGTTTGTGTGTCCTTTCCTGTGTGTTCAGGTGCATGGGGTGGTGGGTGCACATGCGTGTTTGGGGGTGGGGGCTGTGGAAGCCAGATAATCTTGTCCATTTTTCCTCGATTTTCTGAGGCAGGGTCTCTCCATTTTTACCGGGAACTCACCAAAGAAGCTAGGCAAGGTGGCTGGTGAGCAAGCGCCACGGTCTTCCTGTCTGGAATTACGTTCATGCACCACCACAACTAGCTTTTTATTTTTTTTTAAATGTGGGTTACAGGGATCAAACTCAAACAACTGTGCCTCCCCACCCGAGCTACCCCTGAGTCTTATCTGTGACTAATTCTGCCCACATGCCACACCACTGTCCCTTCGAAAGCATACAGCTCAATGGTTTCCCGTATATACGTGAAGCTGTGCGTTCATCCACACTGCCTTAATTCCAGAACACTTTTCTCATTCTCTGTGCACACTAATAGTCAATCCCATTTTTTTTTCTTCCACACCTCTTTCCAGACAACCACTCATCTACTTTGTGACTCTGCTAGTGTATCTATTCTGGAAATTTCATATAAAATATATATATATATATATATATGGGCCAGGCAGTGGTGGCACACACCTTTAATCCCAGAACTCAGGAGGCAGAGCCAGGCAGACCTCTGTGAGTTCAAGGCCAGCCTGGTCTACACAGTGAGATCCAGGTCAGGCACCAAAACTACACAGAGAAACCCTGTCTCGGAAAAACAAAAAACAAAACAAACGGCCACATTCGTTTGGCACGTTAGAAGTTCACCCACACTGAAAGGCGTACTGACTCTTCCTTCATTCTGATGCCTGAGTAGGAGTCTACGGAATGGATACACCATATCCATCCCCTTATCAGCCAACAGGGGACTTCGGCTTGTGTGCATTATCACCAGGGCTGCTGCAGCGTTCATCTAAAGGTTTTGACAAGGTTGTCTGTGTTCCTCTTTTCTCATTTATATACGAAGGAGGGAAATCACTGGGATGAATGGTAACCGCATGCTTAGCACTGAGTATCTGCCAGTTCTTTCCAAGGCAGCGCCGCTGTGAGCATTCCCAGCGGCCATGTCCGCGTTCCACTGCCCTTGCCAACGCTTGGAACTGTCTCTGAGTTTGAGGACGACACCTTAGCGGAAGCCAGGAAGCACTTAATTTTTAGAAATACAGCACCTTGACAGGAATGATTCCCTCTAAGGACAAGTCTGGTCTAGATGCCATATCCAGGGAGTGTCACTGGGAGATTTCTTCAGTAAGTGGCCCCCATGCGAAGATGGCTTTGCCTCCCTCCAGGGTGGCCCTTTGCATGGAGGAGGCCCATTTTTAAATTTTTTTACATTTTATTTAATTGTGTGTGTGTGTGTGTGTGTGTGTGTGTGTGTGTGTGTGTTTACACACACACCACAGGGCAACTTTGGAGGTCAGTTCTCTACTACCTTCAACCAGGTGGGTCCTGAGGATTGAACCCAGACCATTAGACTTGGCTGCAAGCACCGTTATCCACTGAGCCATCTCACCGACCCCAGGAGGGGTCCCTTTTGTAAAGCCTTGCCAAGCCTAGGGCTGCCTCTGCCTGGCCTCCTCTGACTCCCAGCAGTGTACATGGGCATCAGGTGACAGGAAGGAGCTCAGATGACACTCACCTGGGTGTCGTGAAGACCCTCTATAGCACCCTGGAGATGAAGGCAGGAGGATCAGAAGTCCAAGGTCATCCTTGGCTAAATAGTGAGCTGGAGGCCAACCTGGACTACCTGACAGCCTGTCTTAACAATTACAACAACAACAATAATAATTTTAAACCCACAGTACAGAGGAAGGAAAGAGACCACTTAGTGGATAAAAAGAACAAGGAAAAAGAAAATGAGTGTCTGAAGTGTAAAAGCCTTTTCTCCCCCCAGAGTCCCTGCTTTACCTGTGGAAGGCCACCCCACAAGGAAGGCTGTACCCCATGCAGGCCTTCTCCAATCTCTTGAGAAAGGTCAGTGCTGTGCAGCGCTGTCCTCTGACTGTGACACCCACCATCTTTTTGTTCTGTTTTGTTTTGTTTTTCAAGACAGGGTTTCTTGTGTAGTTTTGGTGCCTGTCCTGGCTCTCGCTCTGTAGACCAGGCTGGCCTCGAACTCACAGAGATCCGCCTGGCTTTGCCTCCCGAGTGCTGGGATTAAAGCTGTGTGCCACTGCCACCCAGCTCCACCATCTTTTTAGTCAAGGCAGCTACAGCAACCCAGAGACGACCCTCGAGAGCTGGCCTGTTGACATTCCCTCAGAGGATGGGGCAGGGGTGGGTCATCAGACTCTCACTTGAGGTCCCAACCACACACACAAGCCTGCCCCACACCTCCCTCCCAGCTGCACATAATTCTGCCCCAGCTGCTTCCGTGGTCTGGGGGGGGGGGGGGGGCGGTGCTAGAGTACATCGAATGTGAAGGTTAGCTGCGGACTATTCCACATGTGCAGCTATGAGGAAGTCGGCATCTACAGTGGGGTGAGACATTTCGATGGTGAGAGCTGTCGGAAGGTCGCCCACCATTCTGGTTAGTTGTAAAAAGTTTTGTTTTTGTTTTTGTTAGTGTTTTTGGTTTTTTGTCAACTTGACACAAGTTAGGGTCATCCATGAAGAGGGAGACTGAATTAAGAAAATGCCTCCCCCAGGTTGACCTGTAGGTAAGTGTGTGTGTGGTTATTCTAGGTTAGTGATTAATATGGGATGGCTCAGCCCACGGTAGGCATGCCATCCACCCTTGCCTTGAGTTCTATAAGAAAACAGGCTGAGCAAGTCACGAGGAGCAAGCCAGTGAGCAGCATCTCTCCCTGGCCTCTGCTTCTTCGGCTCCTGCCCTGACTGCCCTCACTGATGGTCTGTGACACAAAAGTGCAAGATTAAATCAACCCTTTCCTCCCCAGGTTGCTTTGGGTCATGGTGTTTTTCACAGCAACAGAAAGTCAGCTAGAAAACCCACAGGCCTATAAGCAGCTCCTCATCCACGCTCCTGTAAATTAGCCCAGTAACATGCACCGAGCTAGACATGGGTGGGATCATGACTTTGGTCCATCTTTGGTGCCCTATCTGGGGGTGGAGAGATGTCTATTCCCCTTTCCCCAGGAAAAGCAAATAGAGCACTCATGTTCCTGAGACATAAAGGAGTAAGACGTGAGACCCTTCTTCCATTTCCTGGCTGGAGAAAGGGGTGGGAGGAAGAAGCATTCTCAGAGCATTCCTGCCCCCTGGGTGATCCAAGATAAAAAGAGAGCCGTACTTGACCCCGTAGGCAAAGATGGTGAGGCCGATGAGGACGCCGATGCTGCCGTCCAGGTACCAGACTTTCGAGTTGTGTTTGAACACTTCCGCACTCAGAAGGATGGAGAAGCCCATCACTCCCCCTACAAGGGAGTTGAACCCTGCAAAGGAAGAGAGAGCGCACACTGATCTGATGTGGACATTTCACAGTCTATGCTATCAAGTCTGTAGACCACAGAGGAACATAGTAGGCCTCCATTCTGTAGAGGGAATCTGTACCCACACACTGCTGATGGTTTGTTTGTTCTCAGATAACCTTCCATCCGGATGCCATCCAAACGGCTGCCTCAGGAGGAGTTCAAGGCTCCGTGGTCTTAGTGTGGAGGAACCCTCGCACACTACACACAGAGAGAGGGAAAATGATGAAGGAAAAACAGGGCCCAAGGGGCAAGACTAAATGGAGTGCCCGGCTGCCTTTGCTTCCTCTGCCTGTGTAGTCTGCCTGTGGGGAGGTGAGATGGGAGGCACATCCCAGGCTATGAAGCCACTGTCTTCTCAGACTGCAGGCTGTCTGAATATGCCCGTGGGCTAGGGAGATGGCTCAGGTGGTGGGCATCCCCAGAACTGATGCCAAGCCAGACACAGTGGCATGGGCCTGTGGGTCTGTGATCTCAGCATTCCTGTGGCAAGATGGAGGACAGGGACAGCTAACTAGTCCTGGACGCTCACTGGCCAGTGGCAAACAAGAGACACTGTGTCAAACAAGGTGAAAAGTGAGGACCAACAGGTCATGTTGTCCTCCGAGCTCTGCAGGAGTGCCCTGGCACACACAAGCACTCATGTATTGAACATGTGTATGCACATATACACGTGGGGGGATTTTTAAAAATATAAATCAGAAAGACACTCCTATTTCTTGTCACACCCAAACTCTTCATACACACACTCCTCTGCCAACCGTTCCACCTCCTTCCGGGGGCCCTTGAACTTACCGGAAGCCCTCCTTATCTGGGTCTTCCCATGCATGCGGCTTCCCTCACAGTATGCCTCCTCATCCTCACAGTTTTGTTTCTCTCACCGTTCTCTTCTCCCTAGCATAATATTTCTGCCTTTCTATCTTACCATCTCCCACTAGAAAACTAAGCTTGGGGACGGAAGCTTTGTCCCTTTCCTTGCTGTGTCCCGTGTCCCAGAACAGGGTGCGGATGTGGCCGGCAAACGTCACACCTTGCAGCCGGGCTCAGAAAAGGTAAGGAGCTGAAGTTCCCCAGCCGGCCACTAGATGTCCACCTAGTTCCACCGAGCCAGGCCTCACCCGTCAGCACCACGGACAGCTGTCCGAAGCGGCGCCAGTGAGCAGCTGCGGGGGACTCAGCTCCTTAGCTTAACACTTGCAGGAGGTGACCTCTGCTTGTAATGGCATAACCTGACTCCTGTTGGCTTCTCTTTCACAAACACAGGGACTGGGGACTGATTCCAATCTGCCCTGCACGTGTGTGTGTGTGTGTGTGTGTGTGTGTGTGTGTGTGTGTGTGTGTGAAAAGAGGTCACCCTCAGCTGTCATTCTTAGATCACATTCTATCTTGTTTTTCAAGACAGTCACTGAACCTGAAGCTAGCTGATCTGCCCAGGCTGGCTAGCCTGCCTCTGCCCCTGCCCCTGCCCACCAAGACTGGGATCACAGGGTCCCAGTGCTGGAGTCCCACCACACACACACACACACACACACACACACACACACACATACACACACACACACACACACACACACACACACACACACACACACACACACACCAGTCTCTGGCAGTCACTCACCAGACCCAGGCTTGTGTCCTCACTTCTAACCTCAGAGATGGTCTACAGAATGAACCCTGTGGCTGGCTTCACGGCACAGCATAGCTGAGACCGTGTTGGGGCTACCACTGGCCTGACTTTAGTGACTAGATTGGAATCTGTGTAATTAATTAATAATCTGTGTAATCATTAATTCCATGCAGAACAGCCTGATAAGGTTTTTCATAGAGGTTCTGAGTATTTTCAAGTTAGAAAGGAATGAGACATCTGCCGCCTCTTATCAGAGGGCTCCCCGATTCCTCCAGACTGCCAGACTACTCAAAACGTCCCCAGTGTGACCTCTCACATAGTTGTCTCGCTTTTATTACTCATTTGTGCTCAGAGCTATTTTGCCCTTGTAGCCCAGGCTACCTCATACTCACCAAGAATGACCTGGAACTGCTCATCCTTCTGCAGATATCCCGAGTGCTGGCATTACAGGTGTGCTCCACCACGCCTGGTTTACTGGGTACTGGGAATGGAACCCAGATCCTCACTCATTTAGGCAAGCACTTTACCAGCAGAGATACACTCCTGGCTCCACCTTCGTCCTGATGGCACGTCTGCATGCATACTGACTATCTACAGCATCAAACCAGCTGGGCCAAGACCCGCTAAGCTGCATGAAGGAGTTGCCTGCCATTTCCCCCTGGCTCCACCATCCACCAGCTGCTGTCCCTTTTCCCTGGAGACCTGCTTCTTGGCTGTAAAGACACTCGCCCTCCATGCACACACACAAAGGTCCTGGCTGGCTGAGCCAGTGGGGCCCAATTCCCACAGGGTTTCCAATCCAGGAAGCATCAACATCATGGGAACAAGTCAGGGGCCGTCCAGCCTATAGGATAAGGTTTCTAAAATGTCGCTTCCGGTCTCTTCCAGGAGAGAAGATTCTTGGCTCTGCCTCAAGCAGAGGAACAGCCACAGGCATGCATCAAAGTGAGGCAAGACAGAAATGCAGGGAAAATTGCGGGGAGGGGAACATGAGAAGAGAGGGAAGCTCCTCCCCCAGGCATCTGGCTAAGGCTTCTCACCAGCAGAGAAGCAGGAATCTCCTGGTAACTAACAAATGCTTAAGGCTTCTCCCCCTTCTTAGCCACAAGCCTGGAATTTTCTGGGGATCTCACCAGAAACCCCATTTTCAGGGAAAGGACATGTATTAACCCCTCCCCTCATGATTCCTAGTTTCACCTTATCAAGATATAGCCCCATCCAAGGCATCTCCAGAGGGACAGAAAAGAGGGAAAATGGGGGGCGGTGCTTAGCAACCTTTTGAGATGGAACTTGAGAGACACCAGAAGGGTCTACATGGCCAATGCTAAGACAGCTAATTGCTGTCCCTTGAGGAGTTTGCACCCACACTGGGGTACATCTTACTCCCATATTTTCCCTTGAGAAGCATCCCCCCCCCGCCCCCGCCGCCACGATGTGACTGTGTCCACTGTCTTCTGAGCACCTTCATGTGAGCCTATATTAAAATATCTTTAATCTTCCCACCAACTCCACTTAACTACACCGGCTAGTTCTGAAACTCTTCTCAGCGTCAAAGCCATCAATTCCAAGTGGTCGGCGTCAGAGTCCCTAAAAGTCTAAGAGAACTCCCCAGGCTACTGAGGGAGGCAGAATGGATATTTGTCTTCTCACAAACGGACCCCCAAGAATAAGGACAGCCAGGGCTCCTCAGCCCTGACCCCACCCTCCTTCCAGAGAGAGAGGAAAGGGTTACAGGTGGCTCCCTAAGCCCTAATCAGTGAACATCTGGAGCCCGGATTCCAGACTGGGCAACGAGGAGATGGCTACAATTACGATAGCTCCTTTTGTCTGAGACACCCACTCCAAGAGAGGGGCTGTTCCCACAATTCATGGCGAGTCATCCTCTCTAGCCATCCCTTGTGGCCACCTCCTTGCCTCCCCGGGACCCTCTCCCCACTTCAGTGACCCCTCCCTCCCTTTTGTCCCCCACTCAAGACACCCAGAGTCATGTCTCAAGAATTATTTAAATATTTGATAAAGCAGCCACACTTCTGCCCTTGACCTGCCCCCCATTTCCCTGGGATCTGCCCCTGCTAACTTCCAGCGCCCCCCTTTCCATCGGGCAGGAAGCCCCTTCCCTGGAGGAAGCCAATCAGCGTTCATCTGCTTGGGACCGAACACTTTCACTCCATCTCCTGACTTGTCTTTAGCGCTCCCCCTCATCCCCGCAGTGTGAGCATGATGGACACGTCCGCTTAGGTGTGAATGGTTGTGTGGGTAGAAAATCAAACTCAGAGGGACAGAGGAGGCGGCTCAGTCCGTCAGCGAGGACTTGAGTTCTATTCCCCAGAACCCATGGAAAACGAAGCAAAACAAGAAGCTAGGCATAGTGGCATGCATGTGTAATCCCAGCTCTGGGGAGGGAGAGGTAGGTGGATTCCTGGGGCTCACTAGCCAGCTAGTCTAGTCACAAGCCAAGGAGGACAGCGACTGAGGAACAACCGTGACTGTCCTTTGGCCGCCACACGCATGTGCAATGCAGCCAGAAACTCAGGACAGTAGTGGGAAATGGGAAGTTCAGTGAAGCCGAACCACAGATCTGAGTACGGAATAGCTCTGAGGTTAAGGGAACACCACCCACAGAGGCGCAAGGCCCTTCAGTCCAGGGAGATGAGGTCATGTTCTGTGACGGTCAACTTGACACAGTCTTCTAGCCTCAGTGGGCGAGAGAGTCTCAGTGAGGGGTTGTCTAGATCAGTTGGCCTGTGGGTTTGTGGAGAACTGTCCCTATTGACTTAATTGTTGTGGGAATAATGTCTAAAGAGGAGGCACCATTCCCTGGATTTGGGCCCTGGGCCGTAGAAGAGTGGAGAAGCTAGCTGTCCCTAACAAACATGCATGCATGCATTCTCTCTCCCCTTGACTGTGGGCGTGATGCGATTAACTCCTTCAAATTCCTGCCTTGGCCTCCCTGAAATGATGGACTGTGACCTGGAAGTATGAGCCAAATAAACTCCTTCTCCCCTAGGTTGGATTTCGTCGGGGTATTTCATCACAGCAATAGGCGGTCTTCATGATCATGGGCAGGTCTGGGAGATGGATGGCTCTGACCATTGAGTCCACACTCAGGCTTCACGCTTCATCCCAGTGGAGGTGGGGAGAACAGATGGCACAGAGACACCAGGCCTCTGCATCCAGTAGAGCCCGGGGACCAATAGGTCCCCTTTGGAAATGACCGTGGGACCTGCCTGTGCTGTCCTCATCCGAGGGGCTCAGCAGGCTGCCCTGACTACTCTGTGATGCCCCCCCTCCCCGAAGGCACCAGGAGGCGAAACACAGATGAAGGAGGCTCAGAACCCACAGCTTAGAGAGACTGAGGCCCCACGAAGCTCTGCTTTCTTCTGCTATAATAACCTGGGCCACGGAGATGTCCCTCAGAGGAAGATTCAGTCTCGACCTCCAATCCATTCAGTTTAAATAAAATTGGCTGGTGCTTTAAGTTTTGAGGCAGGATCTCATGTGGCCTGTTCTGGCCTTGAACTTACTATGAAGCCAAGGGTAAGCTGAAGCGTATGGTTCCCCTGCCTCCACGGCTCTAGTGCTGGGATGACAGCTGTACACCATTATACCCAGATGACACCCTGCTGAGGCTCAAATCCCAAGCCTTGTGCATGCTGGGCAAGCACTCTCTAAACTGGGTTACGTCCCTAGCCCTATTCCTTTCCTTAATAAAATAAAAGGCCAGGTATGGTGGCACACACTCGTAATCCCAATGCATGGGAGGCTAAGATAGGGAAAAGGGAAGTCCAGGGCCAGCCTGAGCCACATATGAGACCCTACCTCGGGAAACCCAAAGAAACCCAGTCACCTCTGCTGTTCTATGTTATTAAACTTAGAATGGCAGACACCTGCCTTGGTGTGAGAGCCTCCAACCATCATGAAGTAAGCAGTGTGGGGACTAGAGATGGTGATAAATGGACCCCCTAGTTGCTGAGTTCACTTGCAAGACCAGCATCTACCTGCGTCTTAGCACACAGCACTTTCCCCGTGTCGGAGCTCGGGCCTCAGACAAGGTGTGCCTGCACCACTCACCGTCTGTGATGAGAGCTCTGCTCGTCAGGACCTTCCCCAGCATGAACTTCAACACGGCCAGGACGCTGCAAAGGATCCCACTTAAAATGGAGACACTGAACAGGAAATCATCCTAGAAGAGAACATTCCAGATTTTGACATGTCATCGCTTGGCTAGAGCAAGCCTCACCACCGGCTTTGTGAAGGAATCGGTCAGTCATGCTGCCACCAGGTGGCAGCATAGTGCAGGTGGTCCCCTGTGTGACCGGAGTTGAGAAAAGATTATTCAAAATAGCCAGACTAATATTTACAAAGTGATTATGTATTCCCTCCCTTCTCAGTCTTCTGCTAAAACACATAGCAATCATTGATTGTCAACAGGGTTGGTCATAATGCCGGGAATGATGTCTAAGTGGTATTCTACAGACAATTCACAAAGCAGGCAATTGAGAATTCGGGGGTCATGTCACTGCCCAAGAACCCTCTCTCACAGAACCAACTGGTTTAGCCGCAGGATCATTTCTGTCCACAGATACTTAAAACCCTATGGTTTTTTTTTTTTCCCATTCACACAATTGAGATTTCAAAGATAGTCTTCAAGGTGGGAAAAAATGGTGCCTAAAAATAGTCACTGTTGACGTGATTTTAACACTTCCTGTAGGTGCTGCGCTAACGTTTGCAAGCAAACGGGTGAGTCACATGTGCAGGGCTGGTGTCTTCATCGCTGTCTCCTGACATCAGGCCCCCTGAGATCCCCTTTGAGCTCCCACGCGCTGCTCCCCTGAGACACAGCCTCCAGGTTCTCCCGGATTAAAATGCAACCGCCAGCAGAAACCCAATGCCGTGGCAGATACCCAGAGAGAAACAGGATCTTCCTTAAGCATTTTATTAATAAATTCACTATCCTAGTGACAGGCCCAGGGACAAAAGAGACAGCGTGGTTCGCAGGGCTTGAATCTAAACTAAGTCATCCTTCAAAGATCACCTCTCTGGACTTGGGGTTTCTGTATAACGTTAAAGCGTCTCCCCCAAGACCCCCGCTATTGACAAAGGCAGCTCTGACGGTGTGTGCTCATGAATTCTCGTTTACTCTTTTTTCTAGGAAAACCAGTTATCCCAAGATCACCAGCTCTCCTTGAACCTGGGCTGGACTCACAGCCTCAAAACCAGCAGATCTAACATAGGAAAGGGGAAACTGAGGCGGCTGAGACGGCCCGGGGTGAGGATGCTTGTTGTCAGGTCTGCAGACATGAGCTCCGTCCCTGGGACCCATGTGGTGAAAGGACAGAACGGACCGCCCCAAGTTGTCCTTGGCCCTCCACCCATGCTGCGGCAAGTGTACATGCACACTTGAGTGTGTGCGTGTGAGCGTGTGCATGCATGCACACACACACACACAATTTAAAATGTATTAAGAGATGGGGAAATTAGAGCATTAACATTAGAGCATTTAAACCCACCAGACTCCATCTAGCCAAGTAATCAAAGCTAACATCATCTGTGCTGATGTCACATGTCCTGTGAGGGGCTGGGACTGTGCCTCTATTGTGACTCGCCCCCAAGTCCATGGCCTCCATTTAATGTGAAGACTATCAAGCAATCCCAAACTAAAATATAGCTTAGAAAACACCCGACCTTCATTGCTCATGTGTCAAGGTCTCTAGAGGCAAAGGTACATCCGGAACCTGTCACCAACTGAGCCCTGGGGAGGTGTGATAATTAATTATAGTGTAGCATCTGAGGGTAGGTTCAGGAACAAAAAGCATCAGTGGGAAAACTGAGAAGTCAAAACTGAATCCATAACTTGGTCTGCAGTATCGTGACCCCATCGAAGGGATGGACACACTGGGGTTGTGAGATACTAACATGGGAAAGCTGAGTGAAGGAACTGAACCCCTCTGGGCACAGCCAGACGAATCTGAAGCATCCAGGGGCGGGGAGATGTCTCAGTTGGTGAAATGTTAGCCCCTCAAGTGTGAGGGTCTGAGTTTGATCTCCAGAACCAACATCAAACAAGCCAGGTGTGGTGCGATCCCAGAGCTGGGGAGGCGGGGACAGCTGGATTCTGGGGCTCCCAGGCCAGCCAGACCGCTCTAATCAACAGGCCCAGACCGATGAGAGACCTTGTCTCAGAAGACATGGCAGATGGCTCCTGAGAAGTAAGATCTCTGGCTTCTACACACACACACACACACACACACACACACACACACACACACACACACACTCCTGCACACATAGGAATGCATCCACATACAAACCTACATATACATACACCAGACACTGACCTAAAACATTTTCAAATTTGTAATTTTTTTTCAAGTAACCAGCCTCACAGACCTGTCACCTCCCCATACTTGCCCACACGAGGACACAGAGAAGCCAGAGCGTTCGTTCGGTAACCTTGATCTTGCACTTTTCAATCCCAGAAGCGTGAGCCGTAAATTTCCATCGTCAGCCACCTAGGACGTTTGGTCGCAGGCTAAGACTCCTTGGTGAGGACCCACACAGCCCTCTCAGGAGCTGCCATCACCTGCACAGGATTGGGCCCATCCATGGTACCTCAGGAAGGGTAACAAAATCCGAATAATCCCTCACAGGTGTGCCCGGCAGCTCGTCTCCAGTGCAAATTCCAGATCAGTGGTTCTCCACCTGTGGGGAGTGACCCCCTTGGGGTCAAATGACCCTTTCACAGGGGTCACCTAAGACCATCGGAAAACAGATATTTCCATTATGATTCATACAGTAACAAGATGATAGTTGTGAGGTAGCAAGGGGGTGAATTTTATGGCTGGGGGTCTGTAAGGATTTGGTCCTTAATTACATCATCAGCCTTCAATGGCGTCCCAGCCTAAAAAGTGGGTGGGCCCTCTGTGCGTCCCTCTTTTTCCTTTCCACTCCTGTCTGTCCTCTCTCCCTCCCTTCTCTTTCCTCTGTCTCTCTGTCTCTCTCTCTCTCTGTCTCTCTCTCTCTCTCTCTCTCTCCCTCTCTCCCAATAAATCTCTAAAAAGGTAACCATGGCTATGATTCTTCCAACCAGTACTCTCCTCCACAGGCATGGCCACTGCTGGTGGAGGAGCAGTGTCACAGTGTAACCAACAGGGTCACCACAAACATGAGGAACTGTATTAAAGGGCCACAGCATTAGGAAGGTTGAGCACTGCTCTAGATACTGTCAAAGTGACAATCAATATTACCATCATATACAGGACTGGTGACCCTCTTATGAAGAGACCTCAGAAAACTCCCTTGTCCCTCCCCTGTGTGGGGACAAGGCAACAAGACGCCATCTATCTGTTGGTGTCTTGACCTTGGCCTTCCCCAAGCATTGCTGGTAGCCTGAGCACCTTGTCCGTGGTCCTCTGTGGATGTGGCCCAAGTGGTCTAAGACAGGGTCTGGGCCCTTGAGCTGTTGGTTGTTTTGTTTTGGAGTGTGTGTGTGTGTGTGTGTGTGTGTGTGTCTGTGTGTCTGTGTATACCACGTGCGAGCCCAGTGCCTGCAGAGGCCAGGAGGCATGGGGTTCCCTGGAAGTGGAGTGATAGATGGTTGTAAGTCACGACTTAGGTTCCAGGGGTCTGAACCCGGGTCCTCTGGAAGAGCTATCAGTGTTATCAACCACTGAACCACCTCTCCAGCCTCTGTGTGGATTCAATTTTATTGTCAACTGGATACAACCTAGAGTCACCAGGGAAGAGGGAATCTCAACTGAGAAACTGCCTGGATTGGAATGATTTTGTGTGTGTGTGTGTGTGTGTGTGTGTGTGTGTGTGTGTGTGTGTGTGTGTGT